TTCCTTTCCAGCATAATTTTTTTGGTGTCATTTGTCACGCAAAAATGCAATGGACAAAGAACCTTCCCCATTTTAAAAGTTTTTCTATACTATTTTTTCTACACCGTCTCCACTTGCATTTAGTTTCCATTACATTAGATACACTTTGACCGTTGAAATCCAATTGAAGTGGAGAATAGTTGAAAGCTGCCGCTTATTCTTTGATTTCAATGCCCATTTCCGCCGAAATTTTTTTTCTCGCTTTTTTTTCTTTCGTTGCTACAATTTCTTTCTACTTATTCGCTCTAAATCTGACTCAATCACTACAAAAACTCGACTTAACTTAAAAGACACACCAATTAAGGTAGAAAAAAAACAACGAAATTTTACTAAGCTCAATCAATATCATGTTTCTACCTAACTAAATGCACTCGACGCAATAACCTAATAAAGTGCTCAAAATTGTGCTGTTCGAATACTGTGCACTGAAGCACCGAATTCACATTTTTAATTGCAAAGAAAAGCGCAAAAAGAGGCTATTTGTTTGCTCATTGGTTTCAAATCAAAGCGATTATTATTTGGAAAACTGTTTGTGGTGCAACAAAAGATGAATACAAAAATAAATTATTACGAACTGGAATTGACCGGTGTTTAGGAATAAAATGTGGCAAATTGATTTGATTGTTTTCGAAAACGTATTGAGGTGATTTGTGCCAGTCACACCATGTTTTTTTATGCATATAAATTGCTTGCTGTTTGAATTTCGTCCACTTTTATCCATTTTATTGACTCTATTGTCGGCTTCGGGCCACATGCAAATCGTACAAAACCATGACGTCCTTTCTAGCACATCGGACGTCAACGTCATAATTATCTCATCATCATTGTCGTCATCGTCATTCTAAATATTCTAAAAGCAATTTCATATGCTGTAGCTGATACATGGATCATATAATACACAAGTTGCATCCAGCCAAAGAGCCAAAAAATGACGGGGCAAAGTGGAGAAACGTCAAACAACGATGCAATTTACTGTTTCAAACCACCTGGCCAATCAACTCGTTCAGATCGAGTTGTTTTTCTTCTTTTTTTAAATTTATTTTGCTGCTATTTTAAGCTGTGTTGATCAAATTACTTGATGGAAAATCCATGTTTTGGTTCTTTTTTGTGATTGAAAAAACAAAGCTTACTCATATGATCACTTATATGTACGTGTGTATGTGAATGTTTCACATCAATCGCTTTTCATACTCTATTTTGTTGTCAGTTTGTGTGTGCCTTAATTTCAATACATTTTTTTCCATTTCTTTGAATTGATTTTGTTAGTTTGTTTAAAAGAAAAATGAAGTTATCTTTCGTTATTCAATAATTGTAAATTTCATATCCACCAAAAATAGGCAATTAATACGGGTGACTAGCCTTAGTCAACCTTCTGCGGTTGCTGTAGAAGAGAAGGCGACCGAAAACCAACCAATAATATGATAATTATTATTATCGTTATTTTAATTATTTACCAGAAAAGAAAAGGGAGAAGAAAACGAAAAAAACACAACGGAATCGATTGAACAACGGAAATGAAAAATCAACCGAAAAACTCGAATCAACTGATGATCGCATAACGTAATCGAACTGCGCTACGAAATATATAAAAAAACCACAAACAATAATTTTCTAAATGAACCAAATTAATAATTGAAAAAAAAAAAATAAAAAATTTCACATGAAACGAACGAAGCAAAGTGGAAAAAATGAAAATTCTCCAACAACGGAGAAAAACAAACAGAAAGAAAACTCCGAGCCGACGGAAAGAAATGAAAAGTTACATTTTCTCAACAGAGAAACAAACAGGAACGAAATAGAGACGATTCGTGTCCCATTGCAAACAGGGGCCGTTTAATTACAAAAATAGTCGAAAAAATTATATGAATCACATTTTTGTTGTTATTTGATGAGTTTTTTTTTCGTTTCGAACGGTTTGTTCGTTTTCTGCAGATTTGATGGATTCAAAAGGGAAAAATTGCTGTAAAATGACACGACAGTTCATCTGTTAAATTAAACAAAACAAAACAAGAAGAACGAACACAACAACCACTCAACGGAATGAATGAAACACAGGAAAATCATAAATAATGATGGGACAAGAGAATGTGATTCGAACGATGAATGTTGTTGATAATCTATGTATTTTTGTTGTTATTGTTGTTGTTGCTGTTGATGTCTTCACTCAACGAACGAGCCCGTAAATTGTGAACGAAATCAAATGCAAAATGAAAGAAAGAAAAACCAAAACGGGAGATGATGATTTTGGATAGACATTCGAAAATATTCCGTGTATTCCATACAACAAAATGGAATAATTGTCGTTATTTGGTTTTCATTATTTGTTTGTTTTGGTTGATGGTCGTTGAATGTGTGTGTATGTATATTTTTTCTCTCCTGTCTTTTGTTTCTGTTTCTACAGGAAATTACGAATGAATCCAGTTTTGGAGCTGTGTGTACATATGCTAAAAAAAATTGCCAAAATATACTATCGAAATGCGATAGTATAGTGTATGTGTGTGTGTGTGTGTGTGGATGGGGATTCGTTCTTTTTTCAATGTTATTAATACAACGGATTGTGGAAGGCACGGAAAATTTGTTCACATTTACTAAATGTGAAGCATCTGACAAGCTGCTGTATGCACGTGAAACGTGATCTATTCGGACAGATGGTCATTTTATGCTTCTCTTTTTTCTGAAGAGGTTGTTGTTTTTTTTTTGTTGGTTCGTTTATTGGTTAAGAACAGGCAAATCTGATTCGATTTAGAAAGCACGTTGTCGGAATGAAAAACTGTGGGAAAAATCGTCGCTGTTGGCAGATCAATTGGACGCATCCAATGCACATGTACACGAAAATTGCGGTGAATAACGACATGTTCACATATGAACCAATTCATTTGTAATTAGTCCAAAATAATTCTCCATTTCATTCAGTTTGATACACAGTAGACGACGACGAGATAAAAAATACATAATAATTCCCTGCATTGTTGTTGTTATGTATATGTATGTCTCCGATAGTGTTTTTCATTATTTTTAATTCGAATTGTTTTTTTTTGTCTGGTTGTAGTCTCTATGTTTTTGTGGTTCTTTTTTCTCCAGAAAAAAACAACAACACAGAATTCGTATTGTAATTGTTATTTACGCTTATGATATTACCGTACACCTGAGTACCTGCTCTGTTATGTGCTGTTATTTTTTTTCTGAATTTCCTGTTGTGCTTTTATTCATTCGGGCCATTTAATGTACAACAAATAAAAAAAAAGAGCACAGCGCATGATGAACTTGCTTCCTCCATTGTCTTTTGAACTGAATAAATATTACTTAATTTTTTTCTGCTGTTTCTTTGCATTTTTATGCTTTTCTTCCTCTATCACTTTTTTCTGTTCTTGTTTTGGTTTTTGTAAATTTGCTATCACGACAATAACACGTAGAATAAAGCTTAATCGGTTTGAACTCCTAAAGAATACCTCTCTCTCTCCTTGTGTTTTGCTCCTCAAAATATGTGAACATACATAGCTCGATATCAATTTTCAAGTGAATTCAACCGATTTTCACAGATCAACGAAGTAGAGAGAAAATATATATAAATCGTTCAACATACCCTATCTATATGTTTGATAAGAATAAAAATAACCTGATCGATTCGACTATTGTTTTTCACTGCTTGAACTGGAGTTCATGTGGAAGATGAAAAACAAATTGTGTGTGTACGTTTGATTTTTTTCTTCTTTCAATTCTTTCGTTTCGTTTGTTGTACCAATATTACCAGTACAACGACTCGGAAACGACCTGTATTGTACCGAATTGCAGCAATTGAGGAATTGCGAACAATCATTTCGTGCATGAAATCCTCTTCGCTCTCCGAAGAGACGTAACAACAGAGAGAGAGAGAGAGAGAAAAATATATATATCTAAATGTTTATATTTCTCAACGATTTTCTTTCTGTTTTCACTTACTTCCTTAGTACTTTTCTCTTTCTTATATATTTATACAGATTATTTCTCATTTTTGTTATTATTCTTCAATTCTTTTTTTTTCTTGTTTTTTTTTAAACGCTGTTGTAAATCGCTTAACTTAAGTTCGAAACGAAAAACAAGTACGAACGAAAAAATGAAATGTTATCGAGTAAATGTTGTTGTCCACAATTGTTGCTGCTGAAATCGGTGCTAAAATCGTATTGAAAGTGTTCTGCTGCAGTTTCGACAACCGAATTGGAAAATATAAAAAAAAAACTATCGTATGCAGCATTTGTATAGTTTCAAATTTCAACGCGCCAATTCAAGGCATTGGCGCGTATGTGCTTGGATTTTCAGCAGCAGCAATGTACGTGGCAAATTTCTCAAATATCTGTTTACGTAATTTATTTAGAAAGAAAATGAAAACCAAAGAATAAAATCAAACTAAATGAAATAAATAGTTTATGTATATAACATATTTATATGTTTATTTTCTTCTTGTTATTCTGTTTTTGTTGTTGTTTTTATTTGGTTTTGAATTGCAATTCGAATGTCGCGGTTCAAAAGTGTCAGTGAATGTTTGAATGTGTGTGTGTATGGATTGTGGATGCTGTTGGTTTTTTTTTTCCTTTATTTATTTTTGATTTTCGGTGGAGAATGAAACGCGAGCGTAAGACATGCGATCCCATAAATTCGCCGCTCTCTCGTTAACGTCTCATGTTTATCGCTCCCCATGGAACCATCGCAAAATCATTTCGATCCGATACAAATGCGATTGTTAACATTCAATAAAATATGCAAGATTATATTTGTCGAATGCAGCAAAGAAACGACTCTTCTCTAATATAGTGAGAAAAGAGTATGCCATGGAGTCGTGGTAGCATACAAAACAAACTACTTCACCACACACTTTTGAACATTGACATCGAATCAATATTTTGATATAATATTATGGTATATGTAGTATGTATGATTATTTAGGAATTGTGTTTGGATATGGAATTGGCTAAAATGATACTTACAGCTTTCAATTTCAATTTGGCATAGCTGTCGATCCATTGGAAAATATTCTAGATTCATTGGACACGATGCCGTAATTGTTAACCTGTGAATTAAACACAGACAGATGTTTTATTTTATTTATAGAAGAATTAATTGTTTCATCGACTTTGAGCGAGAAAAACAACTTTTTTTTTTTCATTCGAATTGAATCATTTCGATGTTAGTTTGCAATGTGAAGAAAACGTATGAAATATTCTCTCTTTGGTGGCTGTTACAAAATGATTGATGACACCGACAAATAAGAAATGTTATAGACCTGTAAATCGTTTTTTCATCGCAGGCAATGGATATTCTGTTGTGGTTCAGGCGAAATATGATGGTTTGACGCCAATTGTTTGTTAAAACTGACCTTACCTCAAACCGAACTATCTTTTTCGTCAAAATGACCTTATTGATGGTTGACGCACAAAGGATACACGTTAGCTCTAAGACGTTTCATATTGGTTTCAGCTCTTTTCTCTTTAAATAGGTTTTTAATTTGGTCCTGTCAAATTTCAAAATTTTACTCATTTCTTTGAACAGAAATGGTTGTGTAAACAGCAAGCCATTGCGCTTGTGCATCTCTTATGCTGATGAAATGACAGAAGAGCAGATCTTTGTCGTGAAAATCACTTTTTTCTGATTCTTTGCTGAGTTCTAAAGAATGCTTCTCAGCGTTTGTCATTTCGTTAATTTTTCTTGCAAATTACGTTGTTTTCGTGCTTCAGTTGTGATGTGTCATGCCTATTTTGTGGTTTTGAATGCGTTCGATTCGCGAATGAATGACATGTTCGCTGAAACATTTGCCTTTCTCTTCCTTTTCTTTTCTTTTCTTTTTGATGATTTTACATTTTACTTTTTTGATAATCATTTTGGTTGTGCGATGTTGAACGCTGCTGCTATCGCGATTTCAGGCGACACGAAAAAAAAAAATTGTGAAATAAAAAGAGCGACGAAGACTGAAGCAGATGTGAGTCGGTATAACGATATCAACAGCATATTATCCAGTGCTGAAGTACACACATCGTACATCACTTAATTTGAAACGATTGGATGAAAACGAAATGCGCGGTGATCGTAGGTAAGAAATGTCACGTCGGTGATAAAAAGCAATAAATTTTGCTGCGTGAATGACGAAAAAGAAGAAGAAGAAGAAGAAGAAGGAGAGGAAGAGAAAGACGAGATGAATGTCGTATATGTTGAGTCAAGCACTTGGTAAATATTCGCGATAGCTTGACGTACGATTTTAATTTTCCCCTACAGGATTTTAGTAAATCACATTAGTGCTGGATCATAAAAATTCGTTTGCGCCAATTTCCATGGAATATAAAAATGCGAGAGAAGAGAAAAAGATTCCTGACTGTTGCACGCCACCGATTCACACTGACGCTCGTTCGCTCGCTGTCGCCTCACCATTTGACGAATGACAAGCGAGCAAGTTCAAATAACTGTGTAAGATAAAAACTGCACGATTCAAAATTACATTTGACTATGACTTGGATTTTCTGATACGCTCTCTCTTTCTCTCTTTCTCTCTCTCTCTCTTTGTGTGTCTCTGCTTGATTCTTTCTTCATTTGTTTGGAAGAATATATTCTCATTCTTGCTGGTGCCCTCTCTGTATCTGCCCGATTTTCTATCCACGAATAGTGTGAACAAAGGTACTTGGCATTTGGTAACCAGCATCTTTTGAGCAAGCACATCGCATTACATTGCGCAGTCATTTTTATTCAACACAACACAAATCTATTAGAATTGGAATAATCCTTCGTCGTGTGTTTTACTGTCATCCACCCAATACCCGAACACACACATTTCAAATCAGACGCATCCAAAGAGTCATCTCTCGCTCCTGACCCGGAATGTTGATAATCATGGGTGTGCAAAATTCAATGGCGGCGTCGAAACGAACAAATGCATATCACCATATCATTCTAAATGAATTTTTGTCTTATTCATCGTCTTAATTGCGCGCGCGAGAAAGAGAGTGAGCTCGCTGTTACATCAGTACAGAGATCCGTTTGATTTTATTTCATACATCTTTTTCTTTTTCTTTTTTAGTATACAAACGCCCCGTGACATTCTGGATGCTGTCGTCGTTATGTTTCAAGAAAATTTGCACTACACCAAAATTACTTGATTCGAAGAAAAGTGTATTCAGAAATTTTCTCTTTTTTCTTCTTCTTCTTCTTCTTCTTATTATTTCCGTGATGGCGTTTGTTTTCTGCCATCTTCAAGCTTCATCTCGTTTTGTGTCATCGTAATATGACAATATGTTGTAGATAATGTTCCATTAAACGGAATCCAATGAAAGGAAGAAAAAGAAACGCGTTGCGGGAAATTCAGAGTAAGAGTGCGCGCGAGAAGGAGAAATAGAATAAGGAAACACACAAACAAATGAACAAACAAAGTAATGAACATTAAGACAGCAATAGCATCATCAGTAGGCATCAAAAGAAAAGTGAATTCTTTTTTCGGTAACGCAGCATAATTCCCTTTGTTATTCCACTTTTATGCCGAACAAACTTAATACACTGATTGACAGGTCTTGCCGCTAGAAAGAAAAAACATGAATGCAAATAGCCGACACAAGCTGAAGAACTCAGTTTGTATCAAAGGAGCACTCGAGTGGTGTGCTTCTCTATTTCCTTTGTTGTTCTCATTCTCTCTATTTTCCCTCTCTTTCTCGTTCGTTTGATTACATTAATTTCCGGTCAACCAATTCTGTAATTAGCAATCTCGCTTTCTCTCTCTGTGTTGGCTCTTTCATGAGGTGTGACATTTCAACAAGATCACTGGAATGCAGAGCACAAACCATCGTCACCACTACTACCATTCATATCGCACTTTTATGTGCCACTTTTCGTGAATATACGTGGTGAAATTGTTGTGTGTTTTTCGCGCGCATCGTGATATTTGCTACTATGCAGCAACATCAACCAGTATTATCATTATGATACACGATGAAAATTGCTTTAGTTGCAGTTTTCTCAACGGTGTGTTTATACGGTCGTTTTGGTTGGTTACATTATTTTCGTTCGCCTGATTTGCATTTACCATTTTATGTGTGCGTATGTGTGGAGTAGATAGAAGAGGGATATAAAAATGTTTATTTGTGGCTTGTGTGTAGGTCTTTCTTTATAGCTAAAATAAATATTGGCATTTTTGCTCCTTTTATTCACTCTGGCTGGCTTTCGCTCACATTCACCACATCTTTTTCATTCAGGTGTGTGTGTGTGTATGCGTGTCATCGATGCGCCACAAAAGCGTTCAGATGAAAGGGTGTCGGTCCTCCATTCCTGTTCAAAATCATGATTTATTTACTTCCACCTGTATTTACAATTTCATTTTTGAATTCGAGCTTCGCATTTCGCTACTATCGAACGGTGGATCGGAAACGAAGCGAACAACCATTTTGCGCTCAATGCCGATGCTCCAATTCCTTGTACATTCAAAATCGAAAAATGCGTGTATTCATTCTTCTGTTTGATTTGGCAAACTGCGCGAAATACGTGAACTAAGAGATGTGCATGAGAGAGAACCGTGTACGTTGTGGATATGCTAGAGAGAGAGAGAGAGAGAGAGAGAGAGAGAGAGAGAGAGTCAGAGAGAACGAGCAAGTCATCACCAACAAATCGTGTACAATCGCATGTTACGTTGGAGGCGAACAACAATTGAGCACAAGTGCGCGCGGTCGCCCACCCGCTCCCACCCAACCGTGTTTCGTTCGACAAACGGGAAAATTGATTGTGTGTTGAGCTCATATTATAGAAATGCCAAATATTTGCATACGAATAAAATATTGATTTGTTGTTGTCACTCTGTTTTTCAGCTCGCTTTTGTTTGTTTGTTTGTTCATTTGCCAGGTTGTTTTTTTTCCCTCTTATTTCGTTTGGTTGATTCGCTTTAGTTTGATTAACATATATGTGCGCGCGTAACGGATGTGCGTGTGTGTGCGCGCGCACCTACATATATCCATGCGACCCGTTCTTAACCAATGTTTAAATGTGTTTTAGCCATTCCACTAACTCGAAATGCCATTGCCATCATGAACACGATGTGTGAATTGTTCTTATCTCATTCGTTCGTTTCATACGGCGGGCATTGCAACTATCACACAATTCGTGTCTGTCTGAGTGTGTAACACCCCGTCGCCGTGTACACGAAATCTAAATGAAAAGCATATATAGTGCGAATCAAGAGGAAAAACAATAAAAATTCGGCTTCACACTTACCGTATACTTCTTGTTATGGAACCTGAATGATGAACACGTATAAATTCATTACTTGTCGTCGCAAAGTGGAAGTATGATTGTTTCTCGTTCACGAAAAATGTATCAGGTACCCAGATATTTTTGATAAAATCGGATCCAACTGATAGCGTTTCGACACCGGGCCGCTTTTGATATGCCAGCCGTGGGTCGGTCCAGAACTGGCGAAAATAAAAATCTAGCGTAAAATCCTGTAGCATGGATGTTTGCATTGCACGTCGATCGGCAGGATCATCATCGTCATTGTTGTCGATTCCGTGTGCGTTGCGTGAATGTTTGCATCGTTAACATATTTTAAACCGGCCACACAAGATGTGTTTATTTATTTTCATCATGAATAATTCATTTGATTTCGTTTGTATCGCATAAAAAAAATGCAATTGAAAGGAAAGACCGTGGTTTGCGACGAAGAGTAAGAGAAAGAGAAAGAGTGAAAAAAAGAGAAAAAGATGAAATCGAATTAATAATTGTTGTCACTGGACTACACAGCAGCGTAAATATTCGCTGATTTCTATATAATCAACTATAAGAGAAAAAAAATTAAACAAAAAACAAAATCGAAACACAAAAGTTAAAATGTATAAACTAAATTGAGATATTCATTGGGAAAACCTTTTAAATGGGAATTGGTGATAAAAATACATGTTGGGAACAAACAAAAAAATGGAACAAAAGACATATTTAAGTTTAGGTATGAACAAATGAACACCAAGTGAACACAAATTCAATCGGTGCTATGATTTTGATTGGTATGTAGTTGTGTTTTTGTTGACAATACTCAACGTTTGCAATTGTGAGGGATAAAATGGCATAATTAAAACATAAAAAACGAATGTCATGAATGGCCAAAATGATCAAATAAGTTTCACCATCCGTTTTAACGATTACTTCACCAAAATATATATATATATGTGTGTGTGTGTGGTGATTTTCAAAGCATTTCCATCCCTCATATGAAATATGCACATGAAATAGAATGCGAAAAATTGAATACATACCAATCAATATTTAAGCTCAGATTAAATTTGTATGGAAAGAAAACATGTATGATTCATACTATGTGAGTGGTGATTTATTTTCGGTTTGGGTTACTGTTTTTTTCTCGCATATGATTGATTCGTGAACGTGAAAATCATATGTTTGTTTAGTATTTTTAGTATTTTTACTTAGTTTTGTTCATTTTTTTTTGCTGTGGTTTCTGCTTGTTCATTCCTAATTACATTTACCGAAACATACACACACGGACTCGAATCTAATTTGGATATTTTCTATATGTATATTCAACAGAAAAACGAACCAAATTAAATGTATGCACTGTTTTTGTATGTACGTGTATTATACATTTTGCGAGAAAGAGAAAAAGAGAACGAGAGAGAGAGAGAGAGTCCGTGTGTATATTTTTTTGTTTTATTTTATTATCTATGGTTTTCTTTGTTCACTCTTTTTACTCTTTAAGTAATTTTTTTTTCTGTTCGAAACCTACAAAACCCATTCTCGATGGTGAAACATGCAAGCAAACTTTAACACAACGAGAATATGTGTAGCTTTGAAAGCTGTGCAAAACGAAATTTTCATGCATGTCGGCAATAAAGTGGTTCAAAGCATATAAATGAAGAGAGAAAGAGAGAGAGAGAGAGAGAGAGAGAGAGAGAGAGTGAAAAAAAAACACGACAAACGAACACAAAATAACAACCGAAAAGAGAAAAAGAGAGTCCCGTATGGAGACGGGGTCGATGAATGAATTATCTGTAACATAACAGAAATAAACTCAGAAAATATTTAAAATAACGACAGAAAACTTGGAAACAGAAAAGTTTTTCGTTTTTCTTTCCATTTTTTCACTACTTCTTCTTCTTCTTCTGCTCCTTTTTTCTGGTTTTTAGTTTTGGAATGAAAATTAGGAAAATGCACAGAAGAATGACGGCCGGTTCGGTGAAAAGGGTAGCGCTCACCCACTCAAATTGGGTTCATACATATTTTGACAAATTTATTTGCGTTAGTACACGTGAGTGAGTGAGTGACTGTGTGTGCATGTATTTTACGTTGTTTTGCATGATGGCGATGGCTGATTGTGAAGGTGAATGGAAGCGAATTTTGTGCCTTTTAATCGAGTACACTTGTGCGCGCCTTTCTGGTGAACTTGTGAACGAAAATAGATGGAGAGAAAGAGCGGGAGAGAATATGAGCGACGGATTGCGATTGCATGTGTGGACTAAAAATGGTTTGGAATAACGACGACGACGGCGACACGAGAGCACACGATGACTGAATAATATTTGCTCGTCGATTGATTTTCATGAGCGCAAGGCATCATTCATTCCGATGACTCATCGAAACAAAAGTATACAAATATAGTTTTAAATTCGAGCCCTTGTTTACTCAATTCCATTGGCCGTCGTTCGCTTTACCGTCTTTCGTACCATGGCTATTGCTTTTGCTTGCTACAGTTCATTTCTCTCCCACCTTCTTCCATTTCTCTCCTCCCGGCACTCTCTCTATCCATAAATGATAATCATTTTGCCATGATTTATATGGCAAAAATCTCGAAATTCCAATCGTTTCCATTTTTCTTGCCATTCTCTGATTCCCCTGTTCGGTTTATCATGGTTATTTATTGTTTGTGCGGCTCAACTTTTCAGCAACGTAAGAATCCCAATGAACACATGTAATGCTAAATGTTTGAATTTTGTGCATATTTTAATGTAGTGCTAAATGTAGCACTAAAAGTGCAAAAATTGTGTGATTTTTAGATAAAATTTTGTTTCTGGGCACAATATGTGTAAAAATTGTGCACGATTTGGGAAAAAATTTACTATGCACAATAATTGCACGTGTTTGGCTCATTGGGATATCCACTCTGTGTATCTCGTTACACTGTGTATATATATATATGTGTGTGTGTTGTTAGTGTTTTGGCATGTTTGCCTTTTTGTCGAATCACTTCATTTTCCCGTCCATCGTAAATCGTCATCGTCGTCGTCGTCGTCGTCGTTGTCGTTGTCGTCGTCGTCGTCGTCGGTATGAGGCGAAACTGCCGGGCCATAAATCAACACACATTTAAGTTGATCGATTTCATTTTGATCGATCCATCTCAGTTCTTATTTGCCGGTGCGTAAGAGAGCCCCAATGACAGTATCACATTTCACAAGTGATTTTCCAGCTATATATATGTGAGTGCCCACACCGTGTACGGTGTGATATCATCCCGTGTGTTGTGTGTACTACAATCACACATTCAACCTACCTGTTTGAATCTGATTTGCACAAACCATACAAGCGACATTTCAACGCGTAAAGTGAAAAAAATTCGGCAGCTTAAATGGAGCAAAATATTATTTTGCTTTTTGGTATACCTTACACGGGCCGTCAACTCCAAAATGGAAAAATCGAAACGAAAATGCAGTTGAAAATAATCGAAAAACAAAGGTGATGAAAATAAAAAAAAAGAACGATGTCAAATCGAAACGAATCGAATCATTTGTCAATTATTGCTCTAAGGAAATACTGTTCAATCACACAAAAACTACGTACAACAACAGCGAAAAAAAACCTCATGTTACAACATTCAAACAAATGTACAGCACACACACATATATGTATATATGTTTATGCACACAGATCAAATACATCTGACACATCTACAAAGCTACAAAGCTACAAATATACAGATAAAAAAAATGCCAGATGCCGAATGGCATACTGAAAACAAGCGACCGTTGTTTTTAAAGAAATAAAACGAACAAAATGGTCGACCAAAGAAGAAATCTCAAAGAAAAGAGAAAACAAAATGGACAACTAAATAATCGCTCAGGTTTATTTACAAACGAAATCGAAAGGAAAAAGAAATTCGAATGAAACTGGGAGAAAAAGATTCCAACGAAACATCGAAATGATGAAATTCATCAAACTCATTAGATTGGCACTTGATTTGAATCATTTTTTTTTTTCTTCATCCTAAGGAATGGAGACGAATTTGCGCCTCAGAAGTGCCTCCTCTCATAAATTGCAATGCTATTAATTCGGCAACAACGACAAAAAAAAAGAGATCAAACACCAAATCCGATTAATGCTTGATTTGCAGTGTAATGTGAGGTGGCGAAACAGATTCGAATCATCCGTATATCAAGTGTTAAAATAGAGAGAACAAGTGTCATTAGGCGAGGAGATTAAACGGGGCTTTTTAATGCATACTTCTTTATGTATGGCATCAATCGAGTCGATCCACTTTGACAATTCGTTTGATAATAAGGTGAAATTATAAAGCTTATCCAAAAAAACCGTTTTGGAATGCACATCACATCAAATCCGATTTGAATTCGCTGTTTATCTCGTTGCAGGTGTTCCTTGCATATGTATGCTGCACCGTACAGTCTAACATGCAATTCGGATCGCATCACATTTGACGTCTTTAGCTTGCTCGATGTGCGACGATTCGTCACAGCAGACGAATACAAAGCGGATAAAATCGAAAATTAAAAAAAACAACAACAACAACAATGTGTGAAATTGATCACACAGAAATAACAGAAAATATTTTCTGGATTCATCACAAAACGTGAGAATCTCTATTCTATCTGTGTGATAGAAGGTGTTTGTGTATGTTTTTTTTCTCTTCTTTTCTCTTATGTTTTCGCTTCATTTTTTCCCTTTCATCAGAAAAAAATAAAAAATAAAAAAAAATACAAATAATCAAGAAAATTAATTTTGTGAGTTTATGTGTGTGTATATGTTTGATTGTCAGTTCAAATTCGGTTTTGCTTTAGCACACGATTTATTAAGTTTAATGATTATATAGTTTTTTTCTGGTTTGTTTTGTTCAAGAAAAAAAAATAGAATTCGGAAAAAACGCATGTAACAGACGGCGGGCAATGGGTCACGTCTCGCAGTGACTTTATTTTTGACCATGATTTGGTTTTCCACTCCACGATTTTTGGTCTCCTTTACCCAATAATATATATAGTAAATATATAAATATTTGATGGGCCGTCGAAATGCTCAAAGCATAGTGCCAACACTTCCAACAAACCATCGGCCAACTATGTGATGATGAGACACGACAAACGGACTGGAATAGAAAGAGAGAAGCAGAGAACTTGCTCACCCAACAAAGGACAAAAAAAAACACACGCTGACTAGAGAGCAGGAGAGCGATTGTCGTTTCGCGAGAATATTGGCGCTATGCTTGGTGCAT